TATATATACATATTTTTTATTTTAAAAAAACAAAAACAAATATATAAACAAAACAGCACAGAGAGCAATTAAAATGATACAGAATTTCAAAACATGGTGATAGAATATTAACAATGGTTGTTATAGTAATAATATCATATTCAAAATGGTTGCACATATGACTAAATACAGGCACGCAAGATTGACCACACAGTTACACCATACTATCTTCAGACTGACCCATTTATTTTCATCATTTGTAAAATAGCTTCCCCTCTCAAATATCAATTTTTGTTTCCTAGGAGCAATGACACTCCCTGTGTTCACTTGATATGGAAGTGCTCTCCAGTCATGCTGCTGCTTTCTGGAGCTCTTCAAAGGAAGATGAGTGCCTCCTGAGTCCTTCTGCAGTTTTCTAGAATGCTGTGTATTAGGCTTGAACAAACCACAAGACTTGGAAGAAATGTGACTTCCTTTGATTATTTGGAGGAATGCTTGGATTCTTCATGGGATTATCTTGAAAATGCTAAATGTATGGGGGTAGGAGGAGGTGGTACTGTTAAAAACACTTTCAGTAGACTTTGTCTTCCACCTAGAAAGTATTTATCACTCATAGTTTTATGATAGCATCTCATTTTAATTTCTTCCATAGTTAGTCCTTATCACTCAGTAGAATTTCTATTTTTTAATGGTATCCCTGCTCGTGTGCTGGGCACCTTAAGTCCTAGACTATAAACTTGATTGTCTTTTGTACTTTAGGACCTCTAAAATTTAGCACAAATCTTGATGGGGTATGTGGAAATGAAATGAAGTGAAATGTCAAAATTTTCCTGATACTGAATGACAATTATAAATTTCAACAACAAATATGAATTTTTCAGGTGAGTTACATAAACACTCACACTAAAACTTCACTGAATTTCCAGACAGGTATGTAAGTGCTTCACTGCCTTAAAGTAATGTTTCCAATTAGATTTTGCCTATGGATTTTATTTTCCCAGTGTAATCTAGTTAATTATTTAGCTAAAGAGAAACCATGGTATTTTTTAAATTGTCAGCATGTGATAAGGTGAACCACCATAAGCATAAATCTTTTTCCAATGACATTTGATAATAACCACCGATAATTACTAGTCAAGTACAAATACATTTGTGCAGTGGGATTGGGAAGATTTGCTTTCCTTACATTTTGACCTTTTCTTCATTTGATTTTTTTTCCCTACAATATGACACTTACATATTAAACAAGAATATCTCTTGAAAAACATAACAAGGCCAGGGATATACCTCAATGGCACAAGTGCCTGCCTGGCAAGCACAAGGTCCTGAGTTCGATTCCAGGTACCCCCCCAAAAAAAGAAAGATATAACGTTATTGAGGCCCACCTCTTCTTAAAAGAAAAAATTCTTTTTACTTTAAAAATTAT